TAAAGCAAGGCATACTTGAATCACTAAGTAGCCTGCTCTTCTTCAACTGCTCAGCTTTAAGCATCTTTATTTAGACCTTTCCCTTCATTAGAACTGGGCTGACTTGCTGTCAGATTACAGTGCCAAGTCTAAGAAGAAGTTAAATACCATGGACAGCTGCTTTCTAGGCCAATGACAGCCTAGCACCATAAGAGATCAACAGACCTCAGCAGTCCGCCAGGCGCATAGCAAAATGTGCGGATGCCCTGAAACTCCACTGCTTCACATCCTGCAGGATACAAATTTATTCCTAACAAGCTATGGTGATGTTTTTAGATGAGAATCCTAATCGTTTATAAATAAAAATACTTTAAAAAACAAAAATCTCTGCTTAGCATAGATCTTTCTAAACCTCAGTTAATGGCCTACTTATTTCAAGCAAAATTCTACACAGTAAAATTTTAGAACAACAAAGGCATTTGGAGGTTTCCTTGGAGTTTACGATAATATCTGGCCTCCATATATTCACTGTATTTGAACTAGGGCTTATAAATATTATAATACGGCAAATATTATATGCCTCTAAGGGAGAAAATGGCCTGCTTTACTCAATGATTTGCTAAGGTAAATTCTAATCCTCAAGAAATGTTTTGAAACTCTCAAATTTATTCTTACTCTCTTTTCATTTCAGAACAGAAAAAAAAAAAAAGACTAACATTTGTTAAACAACCCACATTTGCCAAGGACTATGTTAGCTGTTTAACATTCACTTTTTAAATAATTTTCCAATCTTTATGAAGTAGATACTACTATTTTCATTAGGAAACAGGTTCAGAGAGTTTATGTGACTTCTCTGAGGTCATAAGGCTTATTATACACATGGCGATAATATCTTTTTCACTGAGTCAAACCCCTGGACATTTATCGTGTCATGACATTACATGACTTTTTTTAAAAGATAATACAACTACTAAAAAATAATAATAACAAATAAAAAATGCACACGAGATGGAGCAACTATGAAATGAGATGAGAAACTATTACTTTAACTAAAGGTAAAAAAATGCCAGTTCACATTTTTACATGCTTCACAGTTGTCCCATGACAAACATCATCGATAATAGAACCAAATTAAGATTTTCAACTTGTCTATGAAGCAAGTAGCTTCAAAGACATTTTACTGCATAGAGTCCAGCAGAGTTGATGATATTTTTCACAAGAACCTCCGATGATTTGTATAATATCTACAATATTTTCCCTCCACTTTCCCAAACTCCCATGCCCCATAATTGTGCAAATAAGACAATGAGATGGCTTTGCATTAAGCCACTAAGAAAACATGCTTAGTGCATCCTAAATTTATGGACAGCACATTCCTCTCTATGAAGACTTTGCTGAGGGCTGTGTTTTGGCTTAGGGTCTTTTTTTCTGAGTGTTCTGAAGATGTTAGAAGCATCGACTTCTATAAGAAAGGTGGGGTACACAGCCAGAAATCAACTTTTCAAATCAGAGAATTAGATGGCTGCACCCCAGGACTCATCTCTCTTTGGGACACCTTATGTTCAGTGCTTGGAGAGCAAAACTTCCATAAGATTCTGAAATTAGGCATATGATAAAGACTAATTGCTGGAATTTTTTTTCAGCAATAATTCAAAAGTACAATTGACAAGGTGAAATTTCCTGAAGGAAATCACACATCATTATGCACTTTTCCGCCTAAAAATATATAACTGTGTTCTAGTATTTTTGAGGAAAACCAAACAAGACATAGCTATATTAAAAATTCTATTCCCATAATACTTATAGTTCAATCTAGTTATTGAATACCAAAAAATAATAATAATTAAAAGGGATAAATGAAACCTATTTGATGCTAAAAGGAAAATAATATAATAAATACATTTTAGGGAAAAATCAGAAATAGGAGAAATAGTCATGAATATAATCTTCCTTTTTTAATTAAGTAAATCTAGAATTTCCAAATTAAAACATGTACAGTATTAAATATAGCACAAAATTATGGATTTAAATAACAACTATTAAGGAATGTCAGCCTAAGTTGCTGACTTTTAATTTATCATAAAATGACATAACAATCACCTAATATAGTATGTAAAAATCCTGCTAGAGCTACTTTAATGAATGGCTTATGATTGATTAAATACTGTCTGTAAATTGTATTTAAAAAGTTATTCCCAAATTCATGAAAGCAGCTCCCTGCGCCCCCCGCCCCAAATCAGAATACAAAATCCCCCTGCAATCTTAAATACATCATTGGATTGCTCTGAGAATTCCTTTTTCATAAATGTTGCCAATATAACCTTTAGCTGACTCTGTGTCTAAGTTAATAAAGTTCCGCTATGGTGTAACAAAACAAAAGTGCTGAGTTCTCGAAAAGAATTTTTACCCTTGATATGCCCAGGATATTTGTAAGACACCAAATCATTTCCTTGCCTCTAAAAATATGCCTTTCCATTGGCAATTGTTCAGCACTCTAATTGGAATAAACACATAGACTTTTAATGCAAACCACTCAAACTAGCAGTCAGGCTTGAGGAGAGAGCTTGAAGAGTCATCCTTTTAACTATAAAATTAGAGCAGGGAGAGGGGCTTCAGTGATGACCCTGTCATAACTTCAAGAATATATGGTCAGCTATCACATCTGAATACCTATTTGCATCTATATTACTAAGTGATGTTTTTTTTTTTTGTACTACGATTTCTAACAACCATGTGCTGAGTGAAACGTTAGAAAAATACAATATAAAGCAGTTCTCTTCTGCATGTCCTAAATAGAAATACTGCTGGTTAACTGTGTTCTAGTATTTTTGAGGAAAACCAAACAAGACATAGCTATATTAAAAATTCTATTCCCATAATACTTATAGTTCAATCTAGTTATTGAATACCAAAAAATAATAATAATTAAAAGGGATAAATGAAACCTATTTGATGCTAAAAGGAAAATAATATAATAAATACATTTTAGGGAAAAATCAGAAATAGGAGAAATAGTCATGAATATAATCTTCCTTTTTTAATTAAGTAAATCTAGAATTTCCAAATTAAAACATGTACAGTATTAAATATAGCACAAAATTATGGATTTAAATAACAACTATTAAGGAATGTCAGCCTAAGTTGCTGACTTTTAATTTATCATAAAATGACATAACAATCACCTAATATAGTATGTAAAAATCCTGCTAGAGCTACTTTAATGAATGGCTTATGAATGATTAAATACTGTCTGTAAATTGTATTTAAAAAGTTATTCCCAAATTCATGAAAGCAGCTCCCTGCGCCCCCCGCCCCAAATCAGAATACAAAATCCCCCTGCAATCTTAAATACATCATTGGATTGCTCTGAGAATTCCTTTTTCATAAATGTTGCCAATATAACCTTTAGCTGACTCTGTGTCTAAGTTAATAAAGTTCCGCTATGGTGTAACAAAACAAAAGTGCTGAGTTCTCGAAAAGAATTTTTACCCTTGATATGCCCAGGATATTTGTAAGACACCAAATCATTTCCTTGCCTCTAAAAATATGCCTTTCCATTGGCAATTGTTCAGCACTCTAATTGGAATAAACACATAGACTTTTAATGCAAACCACTCAAACTAGCAGTCAGGCTTGAGGAGAGAGCTTGAAGAGTCATCCTTTTAACTATAAAATTAGAGCAGGGAGAGGGGCTTCAGTGATGACCCTGTCATAACTTCAAGAATATATGGTCAGCTATCACATCTGAATACCTATTTGCATCTATATTACTAAGTGATGTTTTTTTTTTTTGTACTACGATTTCTAACAACCATGTGCTGAGTGAAACGTTAGAAAAATACAATATAAAGCAGTTCTCTTCTGCATGTCCTAAATAGAAATACTGCTGGTGGGGTTTTTTGTTTTTGTTTTTGTTTTTGTTTTTGCACTTTGCTTCCATTTCATGGCTACTATAAAATAATAGATGGCCATCAAACTTGACCATAAAGGAATTATACTAATATAATTTTTTTCTTTTTATTCTGGACAAAATAACTCACCTTTCATTCAACATCTGTTTTTGCATACATGAGAATTTTCCCAGATGCTACTATGAAGTTTGCATATGTATTTTGGTTTTCTGTTTAAAATCACATGCAGAGATAACATTTCAATGTTAGGATATAAATCAGAACTGCATCACTATACTAAAGATAAAATTTTATTGATGTTGCTTATCCAATATTTAAAAAAATAATTTACATCTTTGCAGATCAATTTCTTCTAAGCTCTTTACCAATTTGCTCACCACCATCTAAGTAGTAGGATGGCCAGTGTTGTCATTAAAATTCCCTCAAGAGCTACTGTAAAAATATTTTGAGTCAGGTTTATCACAGCATGCAAAATGAGCCATCGAGCTACAGAAGCAGGAAGAAAAGCTTGCCAGTGACTCTCTTCACTGGATCCCAATCAGTTCCTGGCTGAGTGCTCTGGAGCATTACTGAATGGATCAAGAAGAATAGCCATGACCCATTCTAATGACCTGTCCTGCTAGGCCTTAGGTTGCTGACTTAAAGGTATAGCTTGATGACACACACAAACTTTCTTCCCTAAATATCTTTAAAGAAACAGTTCATTATAATTGTCATGTACCCGTTTAAAAAGAAAAAACAGCCTTCTAGGCACACACTTTCCCATGAAAATTAAATTGCTCACAAAATCATCATGCCTACTTTCAGAAAATAAGAGACAAATTATTTTGTTTGCTGAGTCTGCTCTGGGATGCTTATGTAACCTATATTTATTAACATTTTAGTCTGAAGCAAATAGCTTGAGAACATAGTAGACATTCACAAGAATATTCCCATATTATTTTTCCTACTGTCATGTTAGCCTGGCTATAAGAGAACTACAGAAGAAAGCAACCTACTATTCACTACAACCCCAACGACCATCACATTAAAAAACAGCATATCTCAAAAACACAATAATTTAGAACTATGGTCAAGAAGAACATTAAATAAACAACTATCACCACCAACCTTTGCTTGGGCTTCTGGTGCTGTCACCTTGACGACTTTATTGCGATTTATCATTTGCTTCACCCATCTTTCTACTTGGACGTTGAATTTCATGAATACCACATAGGCAAAATAAGCTGTTAAGAGAAGCAAGCTTTCCCACCACATGATGACATTATCCAGGAAAAATATAATCAGCATGATCAAGTCAACAATGTAGAAGGACACATCCCGAAAGAGAGGCCACCATGTCAGGTTCAAGATTTCTCTAGAAAACAGAGCACACATGCCAATAACAAAAAGGATATTGAACACTGCTGAGCCCACAATAGTGCCTATGCCAACGTTGCTGTGAGCAATAAATACCCCTATGAGAGATGTGAAAAGTTCTGGGGCCGAGCCCCCGGCAGCCATAAAGGTAGCTCCAGCCACATCATCGGAAATACCCAGTTTTTCAGTGATGACAGTCAAAGAAGGAACAAAGAACTCATCACAGACAATGGCTAAGGCTATGAACATGTAGATCATTCCAATGACATGGAGAATGATGGCGCCTTTTCTTCGATCCTCCAGGGAAAAGATGTCTTTTGGATAGTCTCCCTGGGCACGATGATCTGTACTATTCTCAGATTTGCCTTCCTGAGGAAGAGGTGGCTGTGGAGTATAATCCCAAACCTTGTCATTTAAATCTAAGAGAGTTCTCTGAAGGTAACCATGTGCTACCCTAGGGCCACTTGCACCACTGGCCTCTCCTGCGCTCAATGTCTCTGTCTCAGAAAAGGCACTGATTGAAAATGGGACAGTGCTAATGGCTACCAGGCCCATGAAAAGGCCTAAGATTCTAATTAACTTCAGTTTTTTCCTGACATTATAATGTCTTCTGCAGCCAGATGGTGACTTATCTGAACACCATTTCTCAAGGAAAGTGATGGTGCTGCTTTGGTGCAGATCCATCCTGGGTCTTCTGGTGGATGTGGTCGTCTTCTAATTGTAAACTCAACCAGATGGTTCTTTCATACTTTGCCTCACTTGATGGTTAATGGTGCTTGGAGGCACTTCCACAATCAGAGATTCTTATACTTCACAGGAAATATTTTCAACATTTATGCTTAAAAAAAAAAAACAAGGATTAGTAAATCATAAAGTCATATGTCTTTTTCACAAAAAGAACTTTTTAGCTATGATTAAGTCCTATCCTGTAGCTGTGTGACTTTGGGTACATTACTTAACTCCTCTGCATTTATACCAAGGAGTGCTTTGAGGATGAGTTAAAACACATGAAGTTCTAAGAGTGGAATGTGGCACATCGTAGGCATTTACAATAATTGACGTACAAACACAAACATTTTGGTAAATCCAATATTAGGTTAGATGTGTATAAAGATTAAAATTTTATAGATGAAAGTCTATCAGTTTATCCCACCTTAAATCATGTAACAGACAATCTCCCAATGTTAAAAAGATGCCACTTCTTTTAGAAGTACTTGACAACCAACAATTATTCACTATGTTTTCTTTTAGTCCAATTAGGTAATTCCAGATGCAGGCACACTTTTCTGATTTAATCTTCATTTGGAAAGGGTTGAATGTTGGAGGAGGTAGCACTCTTTTCCTGAACACTTAAAGATCTCAGGATCTTATTTTTCATGCAAAGCTTCTCCTATACAGTAGCCTTTGAAAAATTTAAGTTTACAAAAGAATGTTGTAGTGACATTAACAAATTGTCTTCCCTGAACATCTAAATATTGTTTTCAACTAAAGCTCACTTTTACAAAACAATTTTTAGTCATTTAAAGTAGACAATTTAGTAAATCAAACAACTCCGAACAAATAGGCTATTTCAAGAGACCAAATGCATACTTCATAAACAATATGCAAATTGCAGCAATACCTCTGTCCACCAACTCTGCCCCAAATAGCCCCAACACTTTCTTTTATAGTAGGTTAGATGGCCAAGCAGTTTTCATTCTCTATCCCACAGAGGAGATAAGTAAAATACATAGACACCACAGCTAATATTCTGAAGAATCCGCTTTATAACTTTCTTTAAAAACACTTTTTTTCCTATATTAATGATTTCATTTTAGAGACATTCGCTGAGATCACCTCAGGTGTAAAATAAGCTAATTAAATACACGCCAGTTAAACACTGAGATTACCTGGAGCTCGGGTTTGCAGAGCAAGAGCATAAGTCAAAGCAGGTTGAGATGCTGCTGACTCCTGAGATAAACTGAACCCGTCAAAGAGATTCCAGGATGGCTGGCATTTGTCTACACTGAGCACAAACGATTAAGCGACTCACAGCTCTCCGGAGATTTTCACAGTGCTGGGCCGGGGCAATCGGCAGAAACGAACTCAACTCCCAGGGTGCACTATCAGCTCCAGCCCGAGCCGGGCTCGACCTATAAACCCATCACTCCGCTCTGTGAGCTCGGCCTCCGCTGGAGAAGTGTACCCCCAGCCGCGCCCCAACTTTGCTTTGTACGGTCCCAAACTTTCCCTGGTGGGTTAATAGGAAAATAAAACTAAAGGACAGACATCCCATTAGTGAGCCAGGATCTGGGATGTAGCTTGGGGAGGCGCCTGGCCCGCATCTCCCTGAATCCTTTGTGGGTGGGGTGGAAAGGGGAGCGCCCCTCTGCGCGCCCTCCACCCAAAGCCGGAAGCAAGGGCAGTTGGGGAGGGAGAAGCTGGGGCTCGGAAACCGCGCCCGGGAACGGAGTTGGCTAACTCCTTGCGGGGCCTGGGGCACCCACGTCCACCACGGAGCCACCTGTGAGCCTGCGACGGAGCAGCGGGATGCGCGCAACCAGGATCTGGAGACAACGACCAGTGCAGCCACCAAGCCTGGAGGCTAGCAGAGACTCGGCCGCCAGTACTTACTGGAATCTGTCTGGAGGACACGGACACGGCGGGGGTCCGAGCGCGGTACGCGCTTCGGTCCACAGCCTTCTCTGGCCCTCCGCCTCCCCGCTCCGAGGCCCGGACTCCGGCTCCGGCTCGCGCTCGCCGCTGCTCTCGCCCGCCAGGGCTGGGTTCCGGAGGAGACTGAGCCGCGGCGAGCTCCGCGCGCCGCCTCTGGTACTGCCCGGCCCCTCCCTCTCGACTCTGCGCCGGGAGCGTGGCCACAGCGCGCTCAGCTCCCGCTCCCTCTGCTCCACGCCTCTTGGGCGCAGAGGCGACGCTGGCAGTCGTCTCTTAGGAGATTTCTCCGCAGTGGGGACCGGGGTCAGGATTTGCAGGCGAGCAAGGACAGAGAGGAGAAATCGTACAGGTCGGTGACGCGCCTGATTCCCAAAGACTGAGGGTGCTGCCAATTTAGGGTGTCATCTATGCTGGGCACCTCCTCTCCAATTATCTGCAAAAGTGACAACAGTCACATATTTCTTTAGGAGGTGATGTAATGTTTAAAGGTGGAGGAGTCGTTCAGTGAAGAGGCATGAAGGCCTGCAAGGCTGTCTCTTCCTGGAGTCTCAGGTTGGATGTTTGGGACACTGAAGGATCTTTAGTCTTGCCCGCTGACCTTTCATTTCGTGAGTGATGAACATGAGACCCAAGAGAGTTTCATTTTGAGTCACACACAGAGTTCACTTGATGGCTTCTGGACTCCCAGCCCAGTGCTGTTTCCTACCCTTTCTTCAGAGAAAGAGCCCTTGGCCACGGAAAGTGAGTCAGGCTTGTTGGAAATTAGAAATAAGAATTTTGGCCAAAGAGTGGGAGAAGACAAGACAAACTGATTCTTGAAAGAAGCCCCTTTTGCCCAGCTTTGTGCAACCACCACCAAAACTTCCAAAGGTTCCATGAGAAACCTTTGGGACTTTCAGTATAGGTTCTCCACTCTCCTTACCCTCCACCCTTTCCTGTTTTCCACTTAGAGAGGGTTTTTTTTCATGCCTTCCTGGGACTTGGGGGAACGTGGGTCATATCTGGGAAGCTCATTACCTTTGACTTTGGGTAAACCTCTGTATTCAGAACTCTGCACTTACTCTTGATGTGTCAAGAGAAGCCCTGGGAACCGGGAAATTTCTTTTCCTCCCATCAGAGCCAGATATTTAAGACTATTGTCTTGCTACAAATTTCAGGGTCCTCTTTTGGAAGTCATAGGCTAAACATTTTTTAAAAAAATCTTTATCTTTTCTTGTGTAAAATTTCAGACATATACAAATGTAAAAGAATAGTATAATGAATCTCTATGGGGTCATCAGCAGCTTGAACAATTATAAACTCATAGCCAATTTCATTTCATACCCCGTTTTCCTGGGCCATCATTTTAAAGCAATTCCCAGACATCATATCATTTTATCTATAAGTATTAACAGAAAGCAAGGAAAGTATCAACCACGATGAGGCTTGTGTCAAAAAGACTAAACGACCAATTCAAATAGGCTCCCACTAGGCAAGAATTGGTTAATTTTAGCATCAAAAATTTATCATTGCAATTGTTTCAAACACATAAATGTGATTATATCCACAAATTCTTAATGTTTCTAAAGCAACTTGATTGGTCATTGTAGGTGGGTAAGAGGGAATGAACTCATTTTGAAACTTTTTAACAAACAAAACAATCATGCACTTATTGTGCCTTTTCTATACAAACTGGACTTCAGGGTAACCAATTAGGCTTTAGTTTTACCTTGCCTTTGCCTTTGCTTTCCTAGTTTAACCATCCCTATCTTCCCTGATGCAATAGATGCCTCTGGCTACATGTGGGGAGAAGATCTTGTATACAAGGTTCTTCTTAAAAGAAAAAGATTGTAACGTATATATTTAAAATATATATTCATATAGCCACGTCACACTCCTCCTTCTAAGATCTTTATAAATGTTATCCAGCTAACTTCCCTTAAAACCCAGAGATTACCCTAAGTCTCTACTTGATGGAAAGGGGAATAAGGCACAGATGAAGACCTTATCAATCTGCAGTTTGTATTGGTTGGGGTTTGTATTTGGTTGCATTTAATAGAAACTCATCCTTGATGATTTAACCAAGTAAGAGTTTATTTTTCTCATGTAAAAAGAAGTCTGAATGCAGACTCTCCAGGGTTTGTGCAATAGCTCCATGATGTCATCAAGGCACCCAGATCCTTTGATCTGTCTTCCTGAATATATGGTTTTTATTCTCATAACCACAAAATGGTTGCCTCTTTCAGGCATCACATCTCTGTTCCAGGCAGAAAGAAGGGAAAGAATGAAGGATGAAAGGCAGAAGGCCTCCTTGCTAGGCTTTTCATTTTTATTTAGGAAGGGACACTCTGTCAACACTTCCTTTACATTTCATTGGCCACAATTTGGTTATATAGTCATACTTAGCTGCAAGGGAGTATAAAGAATATTTTAACTGTGCTATTCATCACCATTTATAAAATCAGGGTTCTCTTGGTGATATAGAAGGGGAGACAAATGTTAGATGTGTGACTAGTAGTATTTGACACACAGTTCCATACCATCTCAATAAGAGGCACATTGGGCTGAAGACTTGGCAGCTGAACTTGGCACTCAATGGCCATGACAGATGAGAAGGCTAAAAATACCATCATCATAGTAATGAAGAAAAACATGGCCTATCATTTGTCTAAGTCACACTACAGGAAAGCAAAAGAGTTGAACAACACCTATAGGTCTCCTAGATTCACAGTATTTACTATCTGGTCATGAAGAAAAAGGGAGCTTCATGAGATTATTTACTACCACCAAATGATGAGTTATCAAACAGTAGCCTTTGCTAAGACATTTAAGTAATCAATGGGTTTCTCTGTATAAATTATTATTAAAGAGCCAACTACATATATATTTATTTTCGGTTACCTGCATATGTATAAAAAGTAGTTAACATCATATTTACCCTTCTAGTAACTGGTTGATTTGTTTGAACATAGAGTTTATAGGAGTTGTTGATAATTATTAGTTAAGATTGTTAGGCACTTTTTGTAATTTTGGAGAGGAGCATTTAAAAAAATAATAACATATTTAAAAATAATAATGAGTTTTAAAAAGTATGGGGTCATACTCAAGCTAAGAAAGATTTTGAATATAAATCAAAGGGAAAAATGAACCAGGTTCCCATTCAAGATAGTGAGGTAAGAAATCTGTACTCACCTGTTCCAAGAAAACACTGCATTTACAGCTGTAGAGGAAACAACTTCTTCTGAAAAACATGAAAACACTGGCTGAGCCGCTCCTAGGTCAGGTAGAAGAGGCTGCGACACAATCTTGCCTAAGCCCTACCTTTGGTGCAGTGACCCACAGTCACCAGGGAACTCAAAAACCAAAGCTTCTCCCTGAGAATCTAAGAGTTTGAACTCCACATTGGGTACCCCTAACTTTAAAAATCTACACCTGAGAAAGAAGCCCCCAAAACACTTAGCTCTGAAAACCAACAAGGCTTGCATCCATGAGACCCACAGCTGTAACGATCTGAGAAACAGCTCTTAAAGGGGTTGCTCCCAGACTCACCCCCTCAGGGCCCAGAGCAGAAGTGACCAGCAGAGATGTTCTTGGAGTTTGTGTGGGAAAAACCCATTTGCTTGTCTTGGAGTTTTGCCCTGAGGGGCAGGCATCTGATTAACACAGTTTTGGGGTCAGAGACTGGTGGGTGCCATGTTGGGCTCTCTCTCTGCCTTGCTCTAGCCTATAGGCGCCATCTTTTTGTTTTTTTTTTTTAATTCTAGGCTTTTTAATTTTCTCTTTCTTTTTTCCTTCTTTTTTTGAGAGCTTCTGTATATATATTATTTTCTTTCATTATTTTTTTGCTCTTTTCCCCCCAATTTTATTGAACTATAATGAACAATTGGCTTCTCATATTTACATTGTAAAATTCAATGAGTTTTTTTTCAATTATAGTTAGCATACAATAATATATTAGTTTCAGTTGTACAACATAGTGATTAGAGATCTATATAACTTACAAAGTGGTTACCCCACGAAATCAGGTACCCTTTTTCCTCCTTACATATTTTTTACAACATTATTGACTATTTTCCTTATGCTACACTTTATAACTCCATTACTATTTTTTATCTATCCATTTGTACTTCTTAATCCCTTTGCCCTTTTTCATCGTCCCTCCAAACCCTCTCCTATCTAGTAGCCCTCAAAATAGTCACTGTATCTATGAGTTTATTTCTCTTTTTGTTGTTTATTTTGTTCTTTAGATTTCATATGTATATGAAATCATGTGATATTTGTTTTTCTTTATCTGATTTCATTCAACACAATACCCTCTAGATCTATCAAGGAAATATCATTTTCCATCCCTTCCTTTTAGTCTGTGTGTGTCTTTTAATCTGAAGTGAATCTCCTACAGGCAGCGTATGGAGGGGTCTTGTTTTCTCATCTATTCGGCTTCCCTATCTTTTGATTGGAGCACTTAATTCTTTTACATTTGAGGTACTTGTTGATAAATATGTAGTTATTACCATTCTTTATCCATGTTTTTGATACATATTTTTTTCTTCTTAAAGAAGTCCCTCCAACAATCCTTATAATACTGGCTTGGTGTTGATTCCTTTAGCTTATTTTTGTCTGGGAAGCTCTTTATCTGTCCTTCGACTCTAAATGATAGCTTTGCTGTATGAAGTAATATAACAATTTCACATCTGGTGTAAAAAGTTTGGAGAAACAGCAGATTCATTATGGTGTAGATGTGGGTACATTTTAGATCCCAGTCTCATGCATATATTTAAAGAAGCCTCTACTGAATAACCAAAAATAATTTTTCTAAGATGTTATATTTTGGGGAAAGTACTTTTAGTTATTTTAAAATTTTCAATGCTCTCTGAATAAGCTTTGGCTTATTTTTAAAATAATTTTTTGATATTGGTTGGTTTCTGAATGATTGCTAAATAGATGAGCTTAAGTACACGTGTAAAAAAGACCGATTTAACTGTCCACACTTCTGTATCCCTTAGAGTGCTCCCAATGTGTACCGCATTGTGAGGATTCATAAACAGGTATAACAGACTGATACTAAATAAAATTTGATCCCCCAAATGAAATCCGCTCACATAGAATTTGTAATCTAGATTCTGCTTCTAGGA